GCAGCTATTGGGGTCTTTTTTTATTCCAGATAAATTTTTGGAGAGTTCATTTGATTTGTAATTCTTAATCGCTTCACTTTTCTCACCCACTCCTCCAATCCCCTCCCTTCAGGCAACCATTAGTCTGTTCTCTACCAGTTGTTTCAATTTTGTTTGTTTGTTTTGTTTTTTTAGATTCCATATAAAAGTGAAATCATATGGTATTTATCTTTCTCTGACTGGCTAATTTCACTGAGCATAATATCCCTCAAAGTCAAGGATTGTGTCATGGGGTGTTAATTCTCCCACATTTGCAGTTTTGAGCACCCACAAATGATCATCAGCTTCTCACAGGTGTCCCAACCACGTCATGTAAAAGCCTTAGTAAAACAACGAGAAACACATGCAGTGCAGCTTAAGTTCAGTTCCGTTGCCTTGTAATTACTAAGGGGGGCGGGTGGTGGACTGAGAAAATGTGAGACAGGACAGAGGAGGTGACACAAGCAGGTTTTTTAAATTTATCTTCTGAGTAAACACATAAAATATATGTACACAAAATCAATTATTTTTTTTTTCATAGAAAATCTTCAATTTGCCAGTGTGTTCAGTAACTGTTTAACACACAGTGACACCTATTCAAATACAGAAAACTATTTAAATACAGACATTCACAAGCATCAAGTTTCAGCTATTTAATGCTGTCTAAAAAGAAGTTCCTGTGAAATTCTATGTTGCTCACCTTCACTCTATTCTGAATTAAAAACCCAGTGTCTGATGTGCCACTGTTCACCTGCAGTAACAGCTGTTCATCTGTTGGGACCGTTACCCTAACCCACCACTCTGAGAAGATAAGGCAAACTCAGTATGGTACCTTGCAAGTAAACTATATTGATGTGGGCAGCTTGACCCTGGTGTACTTACCCCAGGCACTTTCCCCATACTTAAAGTCAGCCTCACATGAAATCTCTCTATTGCATTGTAATCTGAAAGTCTTAATTTCTCCAGTTTTTGTTAGTTACTCTCCTTTAATCTCCAAATTAAAGTATGTATAAGAGATTACACCAAGTAAATTCCTGTAACCAAGTTAATTTCATTATTCTAAAACCACAGTTACATACTTTCTGCTTATTTTATTAAAAGTATATTCAGATCCTTTTTCACATAAAAAATTATACATGGTAAAAACTAATTGGAAATCAAATGTTGAATTTTACCTGTAAAGGGTTTGCTTTTGAAAGTTATCGTTTGTAGCCATTATTTCTACAAAAATGCAATTTTCCCTGATTGACTTGTATAGATCAAAATATTACTGTATGCAATTGTATCCATTAAGTATTTTATTTTGTTTTGGTTTTGCTGCTATTCATATTTAGTTTAAAGTTTATATAAAGCAAAAATAGTTTAGCTCATTGTCCATTGTCTTAGATTAGTTTATTATATTGCTAAATAGAGGCCCGGTGCACAAAAATTTGTGCACTGGCTGGGGGAGCTGTCCCTCAGCCTGGCCTGTGCCCTCTCGCAGTCTGGGACTCCTCGGGAGATAACGACCTGCTGGCTTAGGCCTGCTCCCGGGTGGCAGAGGGCAGGCCCAATCCCTAGGTGCAGCCCCTGGTCAGGATCAGAGCAGGGCCGATTGGGGAGTTGTGGCGCCGCCCCCTGTCATGCACAGAGCAGGGAGATTGGGAGGTTGTGATGCCACCCCCAGTCACGCTCAGGGTAGGGCCGATTGGGGGGTTGGGGCACCGCCCCCTGTCACAATCAAGGCAGGGTCGATGGGGAGGTTGCGGCACCACCCCCTGTCACACACACAGCAGGGCCAATCGGGGTTGGGGCTCCGTACCCTGTCACACACAGATCAGGGCCAATCAGGGGGTTGAGGAGCTCCCCCCTCTCACGCACAGAGTAGGGCCGATAGGGGAGTTGGGGCGCCGCCCCCTGTCACCCACAGAGCAGGGCCGATCAGGGGGTTGGGGCACTCCCCCCGTCACACTCAGGGCAGGGCCCATGGGGGGTTAGGGCGCTGCACCCTGTCGCACATAGAGCAGGCCCTATCAGGGGGCTGGGGAGCTCCCCCCTATCAGGCACAGAGCAGGGCCGATCAGGGGGTTGGGGCGCCTTCCCCTGTCAGGAACAGAGCAGGGCGGATAGTGAGGTTGTGGCCCCGCCCCCTGTCACACACAGAGCCTCAGGGTGATCAGGGGGTTTGGGTGCTGCCCCCTGTCACGCTGCTCCAGGGACCAGGAGGCCTCGCTGCTCCGCTGATCCCGGTGCCAGGAGTCCTTGCGGCTCCGCTAATCCCGGGTTCGGGAGGCCTTGTGGCTCCGCTGATACCGGTGCTGGGAGGCATATTACCCTTTTACTGTATAGGATAGAGGCCTGGTGCACGGGTGGGGGCCGGCTGGTTTGCCGTGAAGGGTGTCCCGGATCAGGGTGGTGGTCCCCACTGGGGTGCCTGGCCAGCTTGGATGAGGGGATGATGGCTGTTTGCAGCTGGTCACATCGCCTTCAGGGTGGGGGTCTCCACTGGGGTGCCTGGCCAGTCTGGGTGAGGGGCTGAGGGCCGTTTTCAGGCTGGCGGGTGACTGAAGCTCCCAACCTCTCCTTTTTTTCTGTTTGTTTTTTTTCCTGTTTTCATTTTTTTTATTTTATTCTGGGATTTATTTACCTTCTATGGCTGTCACTGGAACTGAGAGCCGGCTTTAGCTCTGAGGCTCAGCTCTAGCTCTGAGACCTTGGCTGCTGAAAGCAGGTTCTGGGTCTGTTTGGCTTCTATAATTGAAACACTGTTGCCATCACTGCCGCTCTAAGCTCTGAGGCTGAAGCTGGCTGAAAGCAGGTTTCTGGGGATTGTTTAGCTTCTATAATTGCAACAATGTTTCTTAGACTGCAGCTCAGAGGCCGGCAGCGGCAGGCGGGGAACCTTGGCTTCCTCCTTCACTGGAGCAAGCAAGCCTTCTGTTCGCTTCAGTTGCCTGGCTGCCGGCCGCCATCTTGGTTGGCAGTTAATTTGCATATCACCCTGATTAGCCAATGGGAAGGGTAGCGAAGTTACGGTTAATTACTATGTTTGTCTATTATTAGATAGGATTTGGTTTTCCAGCAAACTTTGCAAATTAACTATGCAGGCTCTGAACTGATAAAAGAGCATATAGAAATTTTCTCTGTTATATAGACTATCATGTCCCCTACAAATAAAGAGAGTTAAGCTTCTTGTTATTTGTTTGTTTTGTTGTTTCAATCTTCTTGTTTTATAATCTTTATAACTTTAATTTCTTACTTTGTCATATTAATTCTTAATAAGATTGGAACATTCACTACAATGATTAATACAAATGGTGAGCACAGACAGACATCCTTGCCTTCTTCCCAGCCTTAGAAGAAACGCAAAAACAGTCACCATTTAGTAGGATGTTAGCTGTTGTTTTTAAATTCTCTTTATGAAATTAAGAAGGTGCCCTTTCATTCCTAGTCTGTTGGAAGTTTTTTGCCTTAAAAAGGTGCTGAATGTTTCAAATGTTTTATTTCTACCTATAGAGATAAATATGGTTATTCTCTTATATTCTGTTACCATGGTGAATTATAATGCTAGATTTTTAAATTTAAAATAAATATTTCTTATCTGGGATAAACCCACATAGTCACCATATAGTAACTTTTTTATACACTCTCTTTGTTCTTACCTTTTAAGGTGGAAGCTTAGATTACTACTGATTTTAAACATTCCTTGTTGTTATTTGATGTAAACATTTGAACTTTGAGGTTTCTCTTGTACATTTTGAAGTATCTCACATAGTTTAATATGTTACGTTTTCATTATCATTAGGTTCAAAATATTTTCTAATCTCTTTTGAATCTGACTGATGAGTCGTTTTCTTTGGAATTGTGTTATTTTTCAGATATTTTCTTGATGTCTTATTACTGAGTTCAAATTCAATTCCATTGTGATCAGAGAATATACTCAGTGATTTGAATCCTCTGATTATTTACTGAGACATCTCTATGGTCTAGCACCGTGGTTGGCAAACCACAGCTCGCGAGCCACATGCGGCTCTTTGACCCCTTGAGTGTGGCTTTTCCACAAAATACCATGTGCGGGCACACACGTACAGTGCGAATGAAACTTCGTGGCCCATGTGCAGAAGTCGGTATTTTGTGGAAGAGCTACACTCAAGGGGCCAAAGAGCCACATGTGGCTCGCGAGCCATGGTTTGCTGAGCCACAGTTTGCCGGCCACTGGTCTAGCATATGGTCTATGATGATAAATGTTTCATGCATGCTGGGATAAAGAAACCATATGTTCAGAATTTGTAAGGTGTAATGTTCAATGAGTATATATTGGGTCATATTGGTTATAGTATTCAAAACTTCTATCTCATTGATTTTTTTTTTCCTTTTTTTTTTTAAATATATTTTATTGATTTTTTACAGAGAGGAAGGGAGAGAGATAGAGAGTCAGAAACATCGATGAGAGAGAAACATCGATCAGCTGCCTCCTGCACATCTCCCACTGGGGATATGCCCGCAACCCAGGTACATGCCCTCGACCGGAATCGAACCTGGGACCCTTCAGTCCGCAGGCCGACGCTCTATCCACTGAGCCAAACCGGTTTCGGCCTCATTGATTTTTTTTAAATATTTTTTTTTCTGACATTCAAGAGGAAGGGAGAGGGAGAGAAAGAAACATCAACTTTCAAATATACTATACAGCTGTGGGAATTATAACCTTTATGTTGTACATTACATCTCTAGTATTTATTTCTCTTATAAATGTATGTTTGTACCTTTTGTGCACCTTCATCCAAGTCCCCTACCAACCTATTCCCTGGCTCTGATAACTACGAATCTGATCTCTTTTGTATGTTGTTTTTTAGAATCCACATACAGTATTTGTCTTTCTCTCTCTCACTTTTTTCATTTAGCATAATGCCCTGAAGGTCCATCCATGTTGTGGCAAATGTGGTATACATTATTGTTAAATGATTCTTTATTAAAATTTTCCTTCCCCCTTTTTCTCTTTATAGACAGAGAGTGCATGGGCCGAAGAATATTTTGAAAAGAAGAAAGGGTCTCACAAGCGTTCAGCATCCTGGGGCAGTACAGATCAACTTAAGGAGGTCAGGAAAATGATTCCAAGAAAGTGGGTGTGGAAACTTGATTCCTTCGTGGGCTAGTTCCTTGAAATTGTGGGCAGCAGAGATTTGTCAGTTTCCATTGTGTGTGGGGTTTGTGTGTTTGTTTTTTATCTTAGTTCTGTTTACTTGAGAATTAACAACAGAAAAACAGTTATGTTAATTGAATAAAGATTTGAATGGAGAAATGTACACATTACTTATCTGATAGTGTTTTTCCTTTTTAAAAAAAGAGCGTCTGTACCTGTTAATATAATATAAATATCAGATGTATAAATTTTAGTGACATAACAAATTCACATGTATTATTTCTGTATATTATGGTAGTGATTCTACTATTTAGTAACCCAGTATAACTAAGTTGATTTTGCCCCTGTGCTATGATTACCTGATTACCACTTTCTGTCTACAATTATAACATTTTCTTTTTTCATATAATGTAGAAAAAAAGACCAGGAAAATTCAGCCCAGAAATAACATGGGATATTGATTAAAATTTTATTTGGTATTTTTAAAGATTATATCTGTGAGTGCATTTTGTGGCTTGAATTGATGTTCAAATAGTTTAATTTTTGGAGCTGTTGAAGGTCACAAGTTTGATAAAGAAATCTAAATAAAATGTGACTTATGAGGGCAATGAGAGAATAAGTATGAATTTTTAATTCTTTGTGAAAGTTGTAATATAATTTATTCTAAATGCTGAAAACTTCACTTGTTTAGTACTTGGAATATCTCTTTATATATGCATGTGTAGATACAATAAGATTTTGTGATACAGTTTAAAAATTCAAAACTTTTATTAAGACTGAATTTTTCTGGTTCTTATTAAGCAAGGATGTTTTATATAGTATGGGAAACACTCTGATGCATGTATTTTCCCCTTTGCAGATTGCAAAATTACGCCAGCAATTGCAGAGAAGTAAGCATAGCAGTCGACATCATCGAGATAAAGAAAGGCAATCACCATTCCATGGCAACCATTCAGCCATTAACCAGTGTCAGGTAGGAGCACAGATAACACAAAATGCAGACGAGATTTTTTATTTTGCAGGTGATTTGTTATTTTATAGGTGACTGTGGGAAAAAAATAGCCAAAGCACATTTGAAACTGATTAATACTGAATCATAACCTTCATAAAAATAAACTGAAAAAAAGAAACCAGAATATTAAATTGACAAAATGATATTTTCCTTTGGTGATCTGTGATAAGACTTCTAAGAGACATAGCTAATTTTTCATATTTTGACTTAACATACTTTGTATCTATCAATTTAGTATGTTGGAGGCAGAATAATAGAGATACGCACTGGCTGTGGAATCAGACCTTGGACGGGTAACCTGCTCTAAGTCTCGGTTTCCTCATCTGAGGATTGAGGATAATGATACCTGTCTCATAAAGTCATTTACAGGGGAAACGTTTAGCTGCCCTGATTCCTTAATAGAATCCTATAAACTACTCTTGATGGCTCGCACCGGGAACATTTCTCTTTAACTGAATTGAAATTGGATGGGGTCCCTAGGCAAGGAGAAACAAGAGAAAGTTTGTCAACACCTTTTCTAGGTTGATACCTTCTGATGATTGTTAAGTATATTCGGATTGTTTTCAAGAGAAAGTATAGGTAGAGGTATATATTTTTTCAAACTAATTTTGTCCTAAAATATTGGTACATGGGTCAAATTTGATTTCATAAATTTAAAGTTTGGTTGTAATTTCCAACAGCTCGGCAGGGCAGGGTGATGGAGTCATGAGGGTGGGGCTAGTGCATTTATCCAGGCTGATGCAGTATGGAGGGGAGTGCTTGACCCAGGAAGATGTCTTCTGTGAGTGTTGTCTGAGAGGAACTTGGCATAGAGGCCCTGGCAGCGGTCCCTTCAGCTCTTTCCCTGGAGCCTCACTCCCTGTTTGTCCTCCCACATCTCCAGTTTGCTCTGATCTTCCCTCTCTCTGCTGGAGCCCAGACTAAGTGGCCACGAATGAGATTTTGTGTGCTGTTCCTTTAAGAGGGCACCTGGGTTTTGAGCAGAGTACTGTCTCTCCCTGGCAGACAGAATCCCCATTAATTTTCACAGCCAGATGTTATATGGGCTCATCTACCCGCATGCACATGCGTTTGCTTGAGACCCCTTGCTCCTCAGGGGGTAACTTTTGCAGCTGAGATGTCCCTGCAGATTCCCACCTGCTGTACATGGATGTGGGGCCAGCCCTTTTCATGTCTCTGCCCTTCCTGCCAGTCTCAAAGTGGCTTCTTCTATAAATCCTTGGTTATAAGACTTCTATTCAGCTAGTCTTCAGTTGGCTATTCAGGTGGAGTGTTTTGTAATTTAGTTGTAATTCCAATTTGGACCTGGGAGGAGGGTGAGTGTAACTTCCACCTACTCTGCCTCTTGTATTTTTTATTTTAGCCATTCAAATAGATGTGTAGTGGTATTGTACTTGATATAAATTTGCACTGTCACATTTTTCTAAGATTATTTGCTATATGTAAATCCTCTTTAATGAATGTATGTTCAAGTTTTTTGCCCATATTTAAATTGGGCTGTTTGTTTTATTATATATTTGAGAGATCGTTATATATTTTGGATACAAGCTCTTTGTTGGCTTTGTGAATTCCAAATATTAATATTTTCTCTCAGTCTGAATTAGTTTTTCATTCTCTTAACAGGGTCTTTCACAGAGAAAAAATTATTTTCAAATAATTTTGAAGAAGTTCAGTGTATCATTCCCCTCATCTCAGCTTTATAGTGATATAATTGATATTTAACATTGTGCATTTAAGCTATTCATTTTGATGACTTGATATATGTATAATATTGTAAAAATATTACCACAATAAGGTTAGTTAAGACATCCATCATTTCACATAGTTACCTTTTTATTTCTTTTCTGGTGAGAACTTTTAAGATCTGTCTCAGCAAGTTCCAAGTATACAATACATTATTAACTGTCATCACCATGCTATACATTAGTTCCCCAAAGCATATTCATCTTATAACTAGAAGTTTGTATTCTTTGACCATGTTCACCCATTTCTCCTACCTATCTGTTCCTGGCAACCATCCATCTACTCCTGTTTCTATGAGGTGGTTTTTTTTGTTTTGTTTTGTTTTAAGGTTCCACATATAAGTAACATCACACAGTATTTGTCTTTCTCCGACTTATTTCACTTAGCCTAATGTCCTCTAGGTTCATCCATGTTGTTGCAATTGGCAGGATTTCCTCTTTCATGGGTGAATAATATTTCATTGTTTGTGTGTATAACCCTGTTTTTTATCCATTTATTTGTTAGCGGACACTTAGGTTGTTAACATATCTTGGCTCTCAGAAATATTGCTGCAGTGAACACGAAGTGCAGATACTGTGAGGAGTTAAAAATGTTTTTGCCGATTAATTTAGCAGTATGAATCAAAGTCCTGAAAATCTTTCCTGTACATTGAGTCAGTAGTCCCTCCGGCCCAAGAATTTATCCTAAGGAAATATTTATATTTGTATGCAATATTTATTTAAGAGGATGTTCATAGTGGCATTTTTTTTTTGAGTAGCGAAAAATTGGAAACTATTTGTCCAATAGCAAAGCATTTATTCTTAATATATTTATTTATACAACAAAATACCGTTCAGCTATGAATGTTACTTGGTAAATAATAATTTTAAAGCATAAAAGCATAGAAAGATGTTAGAGATAGAGGAAATGAAAAAAAAATAACACGTTACAATCTGAGGTGGTTGAGTTCCCCTATTATGTGAGGAAAGTGGGGCGGAGGGGCCCAGCAGTGAGCAGTGAAGAAGCGCTGCCTCGGCACTCCAGATTGAAGCTGCCCCTTAGATCTTTCTCACCAGTTCCTTGCCTGTTCCGAGGATTGTTAATGTGTTATGCTTAATTTTTAAAAATATCAATTATAATGGTGAGCAGGAATAAAAGACGAGGAATACAGGTTTAACACTAAGTTCTCTGTCAGAGGACAGGGTTGTCCATTGAATGAAACTAGTGATAATTGATCAAAGGCCCTGTTACCTTTTTGCTTACCCACCTTCCTCAGAAAGACAAGTTTTTCAAAGAAACCTCCAAGTGAATGGTGGGTTAATCACATTTCTTTACCAGGCAGCAGGACAATTTACAAGAGATCTCAGGCACACTGTTGCATTGAACTTTGGCGGATATTTTTGCAATTCTTTTTTTTTTTAATCCTCACCCAAGGATATGTTTTTATTGATTTTAGAGAGAGAGGAACATTGATTGGTTGTCTCCTGTACTCTCCCCCACTGGGTTTTGAACCCGCAACCTAGATATGTGCCCTGACTGGGAATCGAACCCACAACCTTTTCAGTGTATGGGACAATGCTCCAAGCAGCTGAGCCATCCAGTCAGGGCCTTTGCAATTCTTGTCTCATATTTAATTTTGAGTATTTTGTCAAGAAACCAAGTAATGCCCTAACCGTTTTGGCTCAGTGGATAGAGCGTCAGCCTGTGGACTGAAGGGTCCCAGGTTCGATTCCGGTCAAGGGCATGTACCTTGGTTGTGGGTACATCCCCAGTGGGGAGTGTGCAGGAGGCAGCTGATTGGTGATTCTCTCTTATCGATGTTTCTAACTCTCTATTCCTCTCCCTTCCTCTCTGTAAAAAATCAATAAAATATTTAAAAAAAAAGAAACCAAGTAATATCCTATAATTATGTTATCAGTTACTTCTTTTCAAAAGCAATAACTGTCAGTGAAAAAAAATGTTTTTTTAAGTTAGAGATAGGCTTTGGAAAAAAAAAGAAAATAAATCATATCATTTTCATTCCTGAAAAAAACATTAAAATCATTACAATGGAAGTATAAGTAAGTAAATTTTACAGGGACCTTATTCCCATCGCAGTCTTGCTATAAATACAGTTAATTGTGTCACTAGAGGACTTTAAAGTTATGTCTGAAATTAGAACTCTGTTACAATCATACAATAATTTGAGATTGAAATTCTTTTAGTATTCTTTTATCCGTTTTCCCTTTATAGTTCCTCATAGATGTGCATATACTTCTGAAAGTCTATCTTGATTGTCTGGGTTTTTATCTTTAAATTGTTAATGTACAGTATACTGAGAAGGAGATTTGGTCACTCACACTTTTTACGAGGCCTATAGACTATATTTTTATTTTATTTTAGAGTTACTCATGTAAACTAAAAGTATGTTTCAAATGAGTGTTAAATCTCTCTTCTCCCTGCTTTATTTCCTCTTCTCAAGGCTCCTGTTCCAAAGAGTACTCTTATTCCAGCAGTTCCCATCACCAAATCAACAGGCTCGCGGTTCCGGAACAGTGTGGAAGGATTGAATCAGGAGATTGAAATAATAATTAAAGAGACAGGGGAAAAGGAAGAACAACTTATAGTAAGTAATCCTTACTCATTAACTCTTCTACCTATTAAAAAATTTATGATTTTGTTTTTCATATTTACTTAGGTTTCTTCCTTCTTATTGAGAGAAAATGACAATTTTTATCTTTTGAAAAACTAAGTGAGTGAAAGTTTTCATTTCTTTGCATGTCATAGAGGCAACTGATATGACTTAAATTTGGATCCTTGAACAGAAGCTGTTTTTTATTTATCTGTATTTGAAAAGCACCAGACAGATGGTATAATTCTAATTATTATAACTCCATTTAAGAAAAGATTAGGCTACTAATTTGTTGGGGAGAGAGGGATATGACATCAAATTCTAAGCGTGAACTGTTTCTTTTTTATTTTTTAAATATATTTTATTGATTTTTTTACAGAGAGGAAGGGAGAGAGATAGAGAGTTAGAAACATCGATGAGAGAGAAACCTCGATCAGCTGCCTCCTGCACATCCCCTACTGGGGATGTGCCCGCAACCCAGGTACACGCTCTTGACCGGAATCGAACCTGGGACCTTTCAGTCCGCAGGCCGATGCTCTATCCACTGAGCCAAACCGGTTTCGGCTGTTTCTTCTTTTTTTAAATACTCTAGGGTATGTTGAGAGAGAGAGAGAGAGAGAGAGAGAGAGAGAGAGAGAAAGGTTGAGAGAGAGAGAAATATTGATCAGTTGCCTCCCATATGCACTTGGACTGGGGATCAAACCCACAACCTAGGTACGTGCCCTGACCCGGAGTCGATCCAATGCATAAACTTTTGATGCACTACAATGCTCCAACCAAGCCATCTGGCCAGGGCTACCTGTTTATTGTTTGTCACTTACTATTTCAAAGGTTAATGAGAACATCATGAAGTGCAGTTCTTACCTATCATGCACATAAGACTGTGTACTCTTCTACTAACTTTAATACACATAAGAATGACTCATATGTAAGACAGAAAATTTCCTGTTTGTATTTAAAACCATGTCACAGAGTATACTAAGCTTTTTTCTTCAGTGATTGAATTGAAGAGTTTTTTTTGTTTTTTTTTTTAAATATATTTTATTGATTTTTTACAGAGAGGAAGGGAGAGAGATAGAGAGTTAGAAACATCGATGAGAGAGAATCATCGATCAGCTGCCTCCTGCACATCTCCTACTGGGGATGTGCCCGCAACCCAGGTACATGCCCTTGACCGGAATCGAACCTGGGACCTCTCAGTCCGCAGGCCGACGCTCTATCCACTGAGCCAAACCGGTTTCGGCTGAATTGAAGAGTTTTAAGTAGTATTTCATTGATGCTTAAGATTAAAGGTTCATTTAGATTAGAGAAAACACAACTCCTCACACCCTCTTCTCCATGCTGCATGATAGGGAAACTTTCCCTCATGTAATAAATGTCAATGAGGCACAGGTAAACAGGTTCCTGGTTTCCCTCAAAAGTGAGCCCACAAGCTTTTTTAAATTGTTCCCCTTGATTCCCCTCTATAATTAGCACTGTTGTGATGAACTTTTTCCTCATGTAGCAGTTTCTTTGAAAAAAACTCAGAGAGTTGGCAGGGGGAGAAGGTAACAGGGCCTAACATCAGGTATCTGAAGTTCCCACAATGGATAACCTTTTCTTCTAATAATGGAATTGAGTGTTACACATAGAATTCTCATTTACCATGGCCCCTCTTCATAAATTTTTAAATACTATTTAGCACATGATAAGTAACTTTAATTTATCATTCAGTAAGCATTGGCCACCTGTCAGGTGCCAGTTCCTGGAAAGAGAGTCTGCCCAGGCTGCTCGGTGTCCAGTCGGGGAGTCAGATTAGGCAGGGATGTCACTAATGGAGCAACACAAAGGCTTCTTTCTCATTAGGCTCATAAGTAGGGGATTTCTGACTTAGTCTTCTGGAACCACAGGGGAAGGTCAATATTGGGCGCATTTCTGGCTGAGTTTCAAAATCAGTGATTAAATACACATATTTTTAAAACTTTTATAACAGCCACAAGATATTCCAGATGGCCATCGTGCACCTCCTCCCCTTGTACAGAGAAGTAGCAGCACACGCAGCATCGACACGCAGACTCCTGGTGGGGCAGACAGGGGGAGCAACAACAGCAGCCGCTCCCAGTCTGTGTCCCCCGCGTCATTCCTCACCATCTCCAATGAAGGCAGCGAAGAGAGCCCTTGTTCAGCTGATGACCTGCTCGTTGATCCCAGAGATAAAGGTACAGTACAGGAGGAATTTGTTACCAGATGATAAGAGAATACCACCTGTGTTATCATTTATTCTATTTTCTAGCAGAACGCACACACTTAAAGTTGCACTAAGGTAATTAGTTTGAGGTGTTTCAAAACAGATTTTAAAAAATTGGAGTACAAAACAGGTTTTATTGTGGTGTGTTCAGTGATGGTCAAGGTGGGTGAGTTTATGGGTTTTTATTCTTTTTTCTTCTTCTTTGTGCTTATTAATACAAGTGTCTTATTAGTGAGAAACATTCTTTTGGGTATAAATGAGATGAACATTGGTCATGAAGAGCATTTTATTCTCTGTCATTTAGTAGTAATGTTTTTACTACCCTCTACTTTTTAATTAAATGTGAAACCTTTAAGTTAGTGTTTTTTAGGATCTATACTTGTGATATTTCTAGAAGGAATAGAGCTGATTAATATCATGCAAAATGACTATTCAAGGGAAGCCTGGAGGGCTACTTACAGTATTAAACTACTTATGCAACTTGAAAAATAACGTGGTGACCTAAGCAATTTGAATATTAATTACTAGTATTCTTACCTTTTAAAACAAATAGGACCTTTCATAAGTCTGTATCAGGGCAATATTTTGGCCTGCGGAGATAGGGCCCCAGCTCACGCCCCCAAACTCGCAGCCGCCTGGCATCCACCTTGGCCTGACACCATCCCCTCATCTGCTCCACCATCCCGCCTGTGGGTGATCAATTGGTGCTGGAGCCCCATACCCCTCCCCCACCACCCCGTGCTGCTGCCAGTTGCCATCTGCGGCGTGATTGGTTGGGGCCAGGCCCCCTCTGCTGCTGCTGGTTGCCATCTGTGGGGCGATGGGTGGGGTGATCGGACCCCTACTCGCACCTGCCTTGGCCTGGTGCCGCCTGCCCGCTCACTTGCTCCACCATCCCACCATGGTCCCACTCTCGCCAGAGCCCTTTGGGGCCAGCAGCGCTGACACCCGCTATGTTCCATGCCACCCCCTGGTGGTCAGTGCATGTCATAGCGAGCAGTCGAACTCCCGGTCTCCTGGTTGAACGATCGCCCGAGGGGACAATTTGCATATTAAGCTTTTATTAATAGGATTCTACAGCTCAGTTCAGTAGTCATTTATTTAGGACCTCATACAGTGTGTTGAACATCCTAAAATGTTTCATTGTTACAGCTGACTGTTACTACCAAACACTTAAGTTATTGAGACATGCAGAGAACCTAAGGTTTTCTGAAGAAGTCACTTCAAACTATGGGCCATTGTAAAATATTATTATTTGAAGCCTTTTCTGCCAGCTTCTAGGTTAAATAAAGTACGACTGTTCCAGGCCAACTCCCAGACCAATTAAATCACAGCCCCTGGGGGTTGTAGGAATAGGCACTAGGAGATGCTCCGTGATTCCAATGTGCACACAAGCTTGACACCCACTCAGTTACGCCCTTTGATTGGACCATGTGTTTCTTGTCAGGAATCTGCATAATAATTCTTATGTTTATTGTGAGGATTAAATGAGGTAGTGAATGCAAACCATTTAGCTTACTCTTGGTACTTAGGCTCAATCAAATGTACCCTCCAACATTTAAAAAGTCGTGGCCATTAAAATCTGCCCTTTGACAGCATGTCATAAATTTTATGTCCTGCTGCATTTGATTTTAGGAGATTAGTGACTGACTAGCTGCTCTGAATTTCTTTTGTAAGAAAACAGAGCCACTGTGCTACTCTTGGCAAGGAATTTGTAGCTTAGCAAACACAAGCTGAAAACTCAGAACACTTACGTAATGTATCAAGAAATTTTAAGTTAATACATATAAACCGAGGACATCAGCACTGAACAGGAATACCAAAGTAAGAAGTGTTCCCTTTGATATAATTAATTTGAAAAGGTTTTAAAAACTTTGAGCCAGACTTTGAAGGCAGTTGTGGGAAATAAGCAGAGAGGAAAATCTCTTACACATGCATGGAGAAGTTCATAGGCAAAAGGAAGTCTGGCGTACAGTGCAGATGGCTCTGACTTCCTGGGGCAGAGATGGTAACTGGAGGAGCCGAGAAATCAACTGAGAAATTCTGAAGGGTAGCGTAGGAGAGCATGATAAGCAAACAGTTACTTGTACTGGGAAGAATGGTAGTGCTATTGGAGTCTGTGTGCTATGTATGGAATAAAAATAAATCAGAGACGGGCCTAGGAGGTGGTGATTATAAGTGAAAAAGACATAAAAATCTTTGATTTGTTTATGCATTTATTTAACGAACATTCTCTTCTCTTTACCAGGAATTAGATATTGGGTTGGTGTTGATGAGTAAAACACTGTTTCTATCCTCAAGTGGCTCATGGTGGGGAAAGGGGGGGGGGGGCAAGAATAATTTATTACAGTATGACTAAGCATTTATGTAGTAGCATTTCTTAGTAATCCAGCATGTTGTTTATTGCAGAGAATGGGAACAACTCTCCTTTGCCCAAATATGCAACTTCACCAAAACCCAACAACAGTTATATGTTCAAAAGGGAACCTCCAGAGGGCTGTGAAAGGGTCAAAGTCTTTGAGGAATGCTCGTAAGTACACTCCTCCCCCCAAATTCAAGCTTTTATTGTGAGAATTTTTATTATGAAAATTGAAGAATAGTACAGTGATCACCCATATAACCACTCCCTATGTTCTGTAATAAAATGTTGCTGTATTTGCTTTGTTTGTGGTAGTGTTTTTGCTGAACTGCTTGAAAGTAATTTGCAGGCACCATTACTTTACACCTTAAATACAATTTAATATGTGCTTCTTAAAAGTAACCACACTACTCCTACATAACCAAAATACCATTAATCACATCAAAGAAAATTAACAGTAATGTTTAATATCCAGTTGTTATTCACCTTTTCTAACTTCTTTCCACTGTATCATTTGTGGCTGTTATTTTTGAACCTGTATGCAGTCAACATCACACTTTGAATTTAGCAGTATATTTATTCAAGATATACCATAGATCTTACCCAGTGTGGTTTCCTTTTTTCAAGAATTGAATTCCCTTTGGTTTTTATCTACTCTTGTTCTTCATTTTGTTAAATAGTTTTAAAAAATATTTGTTTGCCAATATAGGAAACAGGATTCTGTTACTTTGCCGAATCATGTTACTGTGATGAAGATAGTAAGAAGTAAAATTTTCAACAGTGTCTGGTACTTTTGGTGTGTAATCACCTATGCTCCTATTCTGTTGACTGGTACTCATCAAGTATTCCAATTTTAGACTCAAAAGTTGCTCAGAAAGTATTACAGCCTTGGGTTTTCAGTAGCTGAAATGCTCTTTGCTTTATCAGTGATGGCTGCAGGGTTGTAAGTGTAAATGCGATGAGCAAATAGATGATGAACATTATTTGGGAATATGGTGATAGTATTTACCTTCCAATCACACTATGGTTGCTAGTGTAAGAGGCTCTTTTCTGGCTTTTTCTCACTATGAAACCTAAAATACAATGTGGATAATATCCAACCTTGTCCGATTCGCATAATTTATCTTTTTCCTCCATTATGAACATCTTGGAATCATTTTGAAATCTGGTATCCTTCTGTTCCTTTATGAGAGAATGAGGAGAGAAATGAGAGATGGGAGACAATTGAATGAATGAGGAGAGAAACCAGAGGTCTGAGAAAATTGAGAGAATGAGGATTGATCAGAACACGTTGATTGGACCAGTTGATTGGATTAAGCTGTTCACTCAGTCCAGTTGGATTGTGTTGATTGGGTCAGCTGATTAGATTAAATTGCTTACTGGTCAGGCCACATGCCTGGTTTGTAGGCTCATTCTCCAGTAGGAAGTTTGCAGGTGGCAGCCAGTTGTTACACTCTCACATCGAAGTTTCTCTCCCTCTCCCTCCCTCTCTAAAAATCAATAAAAATATTTCTTTAAAAAATAAATAAAATTAAACAACTCAGAGTTTAAAAATTAGTCTCTTTTTGCACTAGCTATGTCAAAATTAGAGCAAATGCACTGGATTCACTGGCATTAAAGCAAAGGTCAATTATTGGCTCTAATTAAAAATGTTTTGCTTATTTCATTATTCTTTAAAGAATACTCTTCTAAGTCTTACTCTTAGTTTAAGGGAAGTAACTGACTTCAACTAGAGGTTAGAGTGGGTATTTAAAGTATTGCATAAGTCTCCTTCCCCCCCATTGACCTCTCCCTGGCCACACCTCCTCCCCTTCTGTGTCCATTGGTTATGCTGATATGCATGCATACAAGTCCTTTGGTTGATCTCGTACACGGACCTCCCGCCTTCCCTCATAGGTTGGACACTGTATTCAATGCTTCTCTGTCTCTGGATCTATTTTTGTTCATCAGTTTATGTTGTTCATTATATTCCACAAATAAGTGATATCATGTGATATTTATCTTTCTCTGACTGGCTTATTTCACTTAGCATAATGCTCTCCAGTTCCATCCATGCTGTTGCAAATGGTAAGAATTCCTTTTTTACAGTAGCGTAGTATTCCATTGTGTAGATGTATCACAGTTTTTTAATCCACTCATCTGCTTATGGGCACTTAGGCTGTTTCCAAATGAACATAGGGGTACATATATCCTTAATGATTGGTGTTCTGTTTTCTTGGGATACATTCCTAGAAGTGGGATTACTGCGTCAACTGGATGTTCCATTTTTAATTTTTTGAGGAAACGCCATACTGTTCTCCCATGCAGTGGGCTTCTTGATGGTTTCTTTTGCTGTGCAGAAGCTTTTTATTTTGATGTAGTAGTCCCATTTGTTTATTTTCTCTTTAGTTTCCATTGCCTTAGGAGCTGTATCAGTAAAGATATTTTTACGACATATGCCTGCTATTTTGCTGCCTATGGCTTCTAAGTTTCTTATGGTTTCCTGTCTTACGTTTAAGTCGTTTATCCATTTTGAGTTTATTTTTATATATGGTGTAAGTTGGTGGTCTAGTTTCATTTTTTTGCATGTATCCAATTTTTGCAACACCATTTATTGAAGAGACTGTCTTGACTCCATTGTATGCTCTTGCCTCCTTTGTCAAATATTAATTGAGCATAATGTTTTGGGTCAATTTCTGGGTTCTCTATTCTATTCCATTGGTCTATTTGTCTGTTCTTGTGCCAGTACCAGGCAGTTTTGAGAACAGTGGCTTTGTAATATAGCTTGATATCTGATATTGTGAACCCTCCAACATTATTCTTCTTTCTCAGGGTTGCTGCAGCTATTCGGGGTCTTTTTTTACTCTAAATGAATTTTTGGAGAGTTTGTTCTAGGTCTTTGAAATATGCTGTTGGTATTTTAATGCGGAGTGCACTGAATCTGTAGATTGCTTTGGGTAGTATGGACATTTTAATGATGTTGATTCTACCAATCCATGAACATGGTATATTCTTCCATTTGTTTATGTCTTCCTCTATCTCTTTTTTCAGCATCCTGTAATTTTCTGATTACAGGTCCTTTACCTCCTTGGTCAAATTTATTCCTAGGTATCTTAATTTTTTGTTGCAATGGTAAATGGGATTGTTTCTTTAGTTTCTCTTCCTATGAGTTCTTTATCCATACATATAAAGTCAGGGGCCGTCACGACCGAAACAACCGGATGGACGACTGTACAGCAGGCTGCGTGGGGTGACCAGGCCAGCAGGGGTGCAGTGAGTGACGACCAAATGACTGAACAGCAGGCTGCATGGGGCAACCAGGTTGGTGGGGGGGGCAGTTGGGGGCGACCAGGCCAGCAAGGGGGGACAGTTGGGGGCGATCATGCCAGCAGCGGGGCAGTGAGAGCAACTAAGCCGGGAGTGGGGGGCAGTTGTAGGTGATCAGACCGGCAGGCAGAGGCAGTTAGGGGCGACCAGGTCAGCGAGGGGGCAGTAGGGGCAATCAGGCAGGCAGGTAAGTGAGCGGTTGTGAGAAGAATGTCTGATTGCCGGTTTAGGCCCAATCCCGAAGGGTCCTGGATTGTAGAGGGTGCAGGCTGGGCTGTGGGGACCCACCCCTTTGCACGAATTTCATGCACCGGGCCTCTAGTCTACCCTATATAATAAAAGCCTAATATGCTAAGTGTCCTACCGTTCGTTCGACCAGTCGCTATGACATGCACTGACCACTAGGGGGCAGACGCTCCACCCAGTAGGTTGGCTTGCTGCAGGGGTCTGGCTGACCGGGACTGGGCGAGATGGGCCAGACACACCCTCGAGCCCTCCCTGCAGTCCCTCCCCAGCCCTGATAGTGCACCCGTGCGGTCTCTCAGCCTGACCTGCACGCTCTGGCAATCCAGAACTACTTGGGGGATTTTAGAGGTTTAGCCCGATCCCCACAGGCCAGGCTGAGGGACCCCACCGGTGCACGAATCTGTGCACCAGGCCTCTAGTTCTATCTAATAATAGACAAACATGGTAATTAACCATACCTCCGCTACCGCCTCCCATTGGCTAATCAGGGCGATATGCAAATTAACTGCCAACCAAGATGGCGGTCGGCAGCCAGGCAGCTGAAGTGAACAGGAGGCTTGCTTGCTTCAGTGATGGAGGAAGCCAAGGTTCCCTGCCTGCCGCAGCCCGGCTCTGAGCTCCAGTCTAAGCAACAATGTTGCAATTTTAGAAGCTAAAGAAACCCCAGATACCTGCTTTCAGCTAACCGGCCTCAAAACAACAAAGTTGTTGGAGCTGCAACAAAGTTTCAATTACAGAAGGTAAATAAATCCCAGAATTAAAAAAGAAAAAAAGGAGAGACTGGGAGCTTCAGTTGCAGGCTTGGCCCGCCTGAAAACAGCCCTCAGCCCCTCAACCAGGCTGGCCAGGCACCCCAGTGGGGACCCCCACCCTGAAGGGGGTGAGGGCAGCCTGAAAACAGCCATCAGCCCCTCATCCAGGCTAGCCAGGCACCCCAGTGGGGACCCCTCATCCTGAAGGGGGTGTGGGCAGCCTGAAAACAGCCATCAGCCCCTCATCCAGGCTGGCCAAGCACCCCAGTGGGGACACCCGCCCTAAAGGGGGTGCAGGCAGCCTGCAAACAGCCATCAGCCCCTCACCCAGCCTGGCCAGGCACCCAAGCGGGACCCCCACCCTGATCCAGGACACCATTCAGGGCAAACCAGCCGGCCCCCACCCATGCACCAGGCCTCTATCCTATTTAGTAAAAGGGTAATATGCAAACTAACCCTAACAGCAGAAAGATTGGGAATGACTGGCCACTATGACACACACTGACCACCAGGGGGCAGACGCTCAATGAAGGAGCTGCCCTCTGGTGGTCAGTGCACTCCCACAGGGAGAGCTCTGCTCAGCCACAAGCCAGGCTGACAGCTGCCAGTACAGCGGTGGTGGTGGGAGCCTCTCCTGCCTCCTCAACAGCGCTAAGGATGTCCGACTGCAGCTTAGGTCTGCTCCCTGCTGGCAAGTGGACATCCCCCGAGGGCTGCCGGGCTGCCAGAGGGATGTCTGATTGCCATCTTAGGCCCAATCCCCTGGGGAGCAGGCCTAAGCTAGCAAGTGGTCATCCCCTGAGGGGTCCCAGACTGTGAGAGGGCACAGGCCGGGTTGAGGAACCTCTTCTTTCCAACCCCCCGAGT